TAAGCTATGTTTTGTGCCAGAAAATTTTTATTTTTACTTATAATTGGTGGAAATTTTGAAGGGGTAGCGGGTGTTTTTTTCCTCAACTTCTACGCTTCTGAAAAAAGTACGGTTTTGAGAGGCCCATTCCATCCGCCAATCTACACAAAAAAGGTACTCTTTGTCATAAGCTCTAAAATTGACCGTTTTCAAGAAAAATCAACTTTTATGTTTAAAAACATGGTCAATTAAAAAAAATTTTTTTTTACTAATTAAACAAAAATTATTTTTATCAAAGACAACTTTTGAATTATTTTTTTTTTTATTTTGCAATTATCGTTTGGTTTTGTTACTTGTTCTAAGGTTACAGTATAGACAAAGAGCGGGAACCACAGAACACCAAGTTCCTACTGGTAGTAACTCTTGACCAGGTGGCTAAAGTTCCTAGCAGTAGGAACTTTAGACTCGGCGACTAAAATTCCTACTGGTAGGAACTGTAGACAGTCCCTAAATTAATATCAAATTTAACATTGGAATTCATGTTGGACTTTCTGATGTAGAGCAGTTTTTTTTTTATAAATACGTGTTTTTTTCTATAATAGAATGTCGTGTGATGTTAAATCGTGTAGGTAAAACGAACAGAATATTAAATCCATATGGTATTTATTTTTAGTTTTATAGGTAGATGGCTTAAATAAAAGTTCAATATAAACAAATAAAGGTAGAAATTATTAAATATGCTGTTTACTCATTTTCTACATACTTTTTTATTTAAGTTTAACAAAAGTTTTGCAAATACTATAAAATATTTAAAATATATCAAACCCATGACCTCTCGGCTTGCAGCACTGACAGTGATGACACCATTGGAGGTTGTTAACATCCAAACATTTTTAGGTCCAGAAATGGATGGAATAATTACCCTGGCGAAAATAAAGCGTGCATGAAAAGTGTGCAATAAGTTTTTATTTGGAGTGCAAGTCTTTATAACAATGTGCATACACGCTACTTTGTGGTAATTTCACACTTTTTGAAATAATTAGGTTTTTTACTCTTACTTTTTATTTGTCATATGTCACGCTTATATTACATTATATTTTAGCACATTGTTTGCACAGTTTTAGTACATTGTTTAAAGACATTTTGCAAAACTTCAGTCTATCGTACCTATGTCACATTTTATACACACTTTAATATTTTTCATTTATGACGCTTATATTACACCTTTTTACAGCACATTTTTTGTACAGTTTTAGCGATCACTCAACAGTTTAAGCACATTTTAGATATATCTCGCTTGAGTTGGGGTACAACATTTATTTAAAAGGTGAGGTAGATTCCATCTTATGTATCGCTTCTCGGCCTATTGCTAACGTACAGCCATAAAAAACAAAACGATTCGTACATCAAAACATTATTGCAAATCAACTGTCAAAACTTACTTGCTTACTTCACAACATAGACACATGACACATGTCATGTATTTTCGATACTATATTCACGTCATTCGGACGCATCAACAAGCAGCGCCGCTGGTGGTGAAAAAAAAAGACTTAAATTGTGCAATTTAGTGGACAGATTTTGTCAATTTTCCCTATTAAGTTCGGGCTCCTTGTGTAGGCTCCATGGTTGCCATTGTGAACAACGGAAGATGGAGAGAATCACTTTGAGCGTATTTCTCGTTGATTTACAATAATTGTAAAAAAAACATTATTGTTTTTTTCACTTAATTTACTTAATTTTTTCATGAAACGTACATTAAAATTTGTCCCCCTAGAAATAATGTTAGATTTATCATTCCACGTTAGATTTTTATATTTATTTTACCAATTACAAAAAATTTTCAGAAAATAATTAAAATTTTCGGAAAATCGCTTTCTCGTGAATAACTTATTATATTGATAGTATTTAGTTTTTTTTTAATAATAAATCATTAAACATTTCTATAGAAAAAGGTTCGCGATCCCTGGTCTATAGACAGTATTTAAATTAAATTAAGTTTTCAAGTAAACGTCAAAAGGTGTTATATGTTTGATACCTACGTACTGAATATTCTAAAATATTACTTTTCAATATAGTCAATTAACAATTTAAAATAAAAAGTGGTAGTAATGAGTAGTAATTTGTTAGTAAAATAGTATATTATCTCGTTTGTAATATGCTTCTTCTACTCCAATTAAGTAATTTGGATTATTGACATAATTTATTATAACCATGCTTTCTCTCGATTTAAAAGATCATTGTAGTCGCCCCTTATATAATCAATGGGTCATTTCAACAAATAATTTTTTTTGGGGGGACCCCTTCAGAATTCTTTTAAAATTTTGTGGAATTATTCTCTACATTATAATAATGACTCACTGAAGATTTGAGCTGTTAATATTAACTATAGTAATTATTTTTAAAATTTTGACGATATTTGTTTTTTTTTAATTTGGTACCCACTGCGCCCACATAAAACCAACTGGAAACCACCACCCACTACGCATACAAACTATCACCTGGTACCTTCTGCGCATAGACACAATAATCTCGTACCCACTGCGCATAGATCAAATCATTTGGTACACAGTGCGCACACATAAAACCACCTGGTACTTACTGCGCATGGATCCAACCATCTGGTACCTACTGCGCATAAAAATAAACCACCTGGTACCAACTACGCATGGAAACCACCACCTGGTACCTACTGCGCATAGACGTAATAATCTCGTACCCACTGCGCATAGAACAAATCATTTGGTACACAGTGCGCTCACATAAAACCACCTGGTGCTTACTGCGCATGGACCCAACCATCTGGTACCTACTGCGCATAAAAAAACATCTGGTACACACTGCGCAATAATGCGAATACATAATGATTAATTAAAATTTAAATATGTATGTAATACTGTTTAATATGCACGGTCCCTGACAAAAAAACTGTCTTGGACGGCTATCAAAAAACCTGGCAACGTTGCTAAAAGCCATTTCGCCAAATTTTAGAATTTAAAGTGTCCTATTTAAGAAAGAACAATGTCACGGAGGACAACCCGACCTGGCGTGGACGCCATTTATATATACTTATACCAGCACGTAGTGTGTACCTATTACGAAATTATTATATGTATATTATTATATGAAAATTGGGTTTAGAGCAGTTATCCCTTTGCGCGCGTTTAAAGTTTCACTTCAAAAATCCGCGACGGACAACAAAAAAAAACTTTATTTGGTGGAATGACCCATATAATATATAAAAAAAATCTGACATCTGTTAGTTCCAATCTAAAACATCTGTTAGTTCCAATCTAAAACCCGATTGGTTCAAATCACAGTAATAATAATAATGTCAATAATATGAAATAGGAGTGGAAATAATCTAATAATACAAATGTTTGGACCGGTTCAAAGTGTTTAAACCGGTCCAGTACCGGTCCAAAACACTTGAAAACGGTTCGGTCCAAAATTTGTACCGGTCCAAGTAATTTTAAAAACGGGACGGTCCATGGACCGGTCCAGAATTATAACTTGTTTATTTTGGGTACGGACCGGTCCGTAACAAACAAGCGGTTCTTGGACCGGTTCACAACCCTGCTATAAATAGCTCAGTAACGAATAATGTCTAGCTAGTCGAGTGTGTTAAAAAAGTATCTTGCCATTCAGAGAATTTCAGGATTGAACTAATAGGATATACCTCTCCAGGACGTCTGTAGGCTTTTTTGAATGGCCAGGCGGTTGTGGCCGGCACTCTGGCAACTATACACAGCCGACACTCGGCCGAGTAAACATAGCCGACATTCGGCCAGGCGGATATGCCCGACAGTTGGCCAGGCGGACATGCCCGTTCTACACGCCGGAAGAAATACGTGTGTCGGGCCGCACGCGGCCGATTCGACAAAACGTATTCGGGCTAAAATTGTTACGAGTAAATCCGGAAGAGGCGACAAAGAGTCAATTTATTGTTTAACTTTTTATTTCCTCCTGTAAATTTTATTTTCTTCAAAAGTATTATAACTTAAGTTGTGTAATTTTATTTTAAAATTTATTAATTGCCAGTTTTAAAAAATATACAGGAATTTTATCTTAAATTTATTAAGCAAATGTTACGCAATGTAAAAATTACTGGATAAATCTTTTCATTGATGCCAAACAATATACAGTATAAACTAAAAGTAAATAAAGTAGTGCTAGGCGACACTCGGTCGCAAAAAAATTATAATGCAAAATATGTTTCAAAAAAGTATTAAGAATCCTGACCCTGGTCTTAAATTAAAAAAAACTAAAATTTATTTTTTTGTTTAATACTGTGCCTACTACTACATACATAGTATGACAAAATTAAACACAACAATATAATACAAATTTAGCCAAATTTAATATTTAGAAGTGGTTCGAAAACATTTGAGGGACCTTTAAAAATCCATATTTAGAGCTGAAACTTTAAGAAACTTATTTATTTTACGTGTACAAAAATTTATCGTAGGGAGCACAAAATAAAACTAAAAAAAAAACTAAAATTTTTACTATTTTTGAAATTTTTAAAATTCGTGAGCGACCCCTAAACCATATTTAATTGAGCTGATTTTTGGAGAAAGCTCTTAAAATATTATTAAACAACAAATTTTTATAGAAAAAAAATAGTCGTTTTTTGGCCACAATAATCTACAATTAGGTCCTAACAAATTTAAGTAAAATGCCTATTATGTAAAAACTATTAAGTTCTCTGGCTAACAGCCGTTCTCTAACCCACCTGGGTATTTGGTACGCTAATGACACCAGAAAATATTTAGAAATATATATTTAAATATAATTTACAAATAAAAATATTTGTGTATAAAACTAAAACTAAGATTGGAAAACATTTGTAGCAATGTTTTAAACCTTAATAAGTTTTAACACATTTTATAAAAATGGTCAGAAATCCCAATTTATTAACAAATACATTGCAATACATAATGAAATAAATAATATTTCATGTTTTAATATAGGTAAATTAAATTGACCTACTAACAATATTAAAAATGTTGTACTTTCAGAGTTATCGAATGCAAAGGTCCCACCAATACACGTTTGTACACTGTAGCTGTATATTTTAGAGGAAAACGTCTGGCACATGAAACTGGCCACAGCATACAACAGGCAGAAATGAAAGCGGCCAAAAAAGCTTTAGATGTTTCACAAGGTAGATAATATGCTTTCCCCAGTCCTATTTCTTTATAAATTAATTAAATATTGTTTTAGACCTTTTCCCCCAACTGGACCATCAAAAACGCGTAATTGCTCATAGTATGAAAAAACAAAAAAACAAACGCAAAGACAAAAAAAACTACGACTCTAGGACTCCAGAGAGATATTCCAAATATCGTTTCCGAAGTAAATCAAGATCTAGATCCAGAAGCAGATCAATTAGTTATAGATCTAGGTCCAGAACCCGACATTCTTCCAGATCCAAGTATAAAAGATCCAAATCTAGATCAAGAAGTTGTGATTCTCCATCACCAAAAAGATATAATAGAAAAAGCAGATCTCGCTCTTTTAGTACAACAAGACAGGAAAAAGGAGAATGCAGTAATTCATATAGAGCTAACAAAAAATCACCTACAAGTTCTAGGTCTCGGTCCAAATCTAGATCTAGATCTAAAAGCCCCGGTGTAGTTTCAACGTTGAACAAAAATTTAGGGAGTAAATCCCGGTCAAGTAGTCCTCACTTGTCCAAAGAAACAAATTACTTTTAAAATTTAGTTAAAGTAATTTGAATAATGTGAACAAATTTTGTTAGTGTTTAATAAAGTGTTGTACAATGTTTGGCATAATTGGTTTAAGATTAATTTAATTTTTGATTTCCACTTTTAATATTAATATCGTTTTTACCAAAAATACAATTAATTTTTACTTAGATGTCTTTATATTTAACCACCATAATTGTATGAAATTGTTGTTTACATTGTTAATTGTGTAGATTTAATTTATAAACGAATTGTGAATCATTAATTGAAGCTTAGAGTTGTAAATGTAATTATTCCTATTAGTATATTTCTTACCTAAACAATTAATTCTTTGAATTATTGATATTTAAAGAAAATATATTGTGGCCTTAGTTTCCGTTTTTTATTTAAATTTTATTTACAGGGTCTTTCAAAATAATATGCTAATATGAAAATAGGTGTCTTGAGAAATGAGTAAGGAATACAATGTTACCTAGCTATATGTATTTAATTATTTTTTAGAGGCTCTATCCTTCAAATACCCCAATTCCAGAACTGCTGGCACACCATGAATTATTGCATGATACACATTCTGGTAGACTAATTTAACGAAAATTCCATCTTACTATGGCATGCGTTTGTTGGCACATGGTGCATAATAGTGTTTTTTTCCTTTGTCTTGTAATTTAGGTTGGAAGTGTTATGCGTGTTTTAGTGAAACATCGGTTTTGTGTAATTCTTTGTTGCTTAAGATTCCAATCGTTAGAATTCTAACGATTGGAATCTTCTTTCAGAAGCTCACTATCGAAGCTATTGTTTGAACTTGGGTCGGGTTTTCTAACGATTGTTCGTAAAGCCTGTTCGTTTCTTCATCCCATTTTCGACTGATAATTCTTCCAATCAATGGACCCCATGGTTCTGTTGAAATGCCCAAATTGTCAATTGCTTTGAGACATTCATTTGTTACATCATGTAATCTTTGTAATTGTTTTGTGGATTCTCCTAAAATTTCATAATTTCCATTGGTAATATGAAGATGTTGGATCAGTTGGCTGGCTTCTTCTCGGGCATGCGCTTTTAGATATTGTATTTTTTCAATGCGTGAGATTGTCTTGTTCTCATGAATTAACTTACTAAATAATATTATGTCATGAAATGTTGCCCAATTTTCGTATCCGCCTTTGAAGTATGGAAGTTGTATTTTTGGTAATAAGACGTTTGGTTTACTCTCATTGTTCCCTGGTAGAAAATAACGTTTGCATACATTCAGACAACGTTGCAAATTTGTATAATAATTTGTTATACTCATAACGTTGTCTTAGTGTATCATTTTAAGTGAGAAATACGTAGTTAAAACGTTGTCTTGGAAACGTTATTTTAATGTATGATTTTAAGTGGGAAATACGTAGTTAAAACGTTGTCTTGGAAACATTGCAGAATTGTATTGCTGGAAACGTTGCAGCAACGTTCCAAATCCCACGTTTAGATACATAAAATTATTTCTAAGTCCCGACGAAAATTTTTCAATGAGGATTTTTTTTAATTTTTATACTTTATTATACATTATTTATAAAAGTAAAATAAAACTCTTCAATACATTTTCAAAGTCATAATATCAAAAATATGAGCGAAATACACAAAACCCACTTTCAAACAACGTTGCAGAATTGTATGGCTGAAAACGTTTCAACAACGTTCCAAAACCCACGTTTATGGACTGACCCATACTTAACAAATTATCTCTAAAACAAATCATTTTATCAAAATTTTATAAGAGACAAATTTTTTTTAACAATAAATGATTACCTGAAAAAATATCGTTTGGAAGTCATTGGCGCACGTACTAAAAATAGGGGGAGTCAGTGAGTACTGGACCCCCCCTATTTTGATTATTTGAAAATTGTTTTTTGTTTTGTTGGTCTCAAAACATGTAACTATTTATGTTAAAGTAGTGTACCGAATTTGAACTTAATATCTTATCAATTACTCGAATTAATAAAAAAAATCAGTTTTAAATTTCAAACTTTGTCGCCCTGTATATCGAACATGAAGCTCTAAATTGAAAAATGGTATTATGAATCTTTAAAAATGAATATTCATTTTTAAAGATTCAGGGCGTGCGCCCGGCATGAATTATATGTGCATTAAGAATATTATCTGGGAACTCACAGTGAATTCATGATGAATTCATTTTTAAAGATTCACGGCGTGCGCCCTATGTGAATTAAATGTGCATTACAAATGTTATCTGTGAACTCACGATGCATTCAATTTTGAAGATTCACGGCGTGCGCCCGGTGTGAGTTTAATGTGCATTCACGAATGTTATCTGGGATGATCCCCCACCAAAGCGCTCAACTTAGCCTGAACGGACTGTAGTGCATCGTGGGTTTTTTTTGCTATTTTTTTGCCCTCTATTTTTAAAGGGTGGGCCATGTTTATGTTGAATTATAAAATAGCAATGAGAACAAGAAAAACTGATTTTTTTTCAACGAATTTTGCTTTATTTGATACAATGTTTCTTCCGATTAAGTATGGAAAATGATTTTATTTAAGTGGCCACCTCAGCTGGCTCGGCAGTAGCCCATCCTGGAACAACAATTTTCGAGCACTTTGTCAAAAGTTTGCTGCTATATTTAGGCAATTTGAGCTTGAATGTTTTGTTTTAAATGGTAAATAGGCTTTGTTACGGCGACATGTGGATTTTCCGTGGCCCAGATCCTACAGTTTTGCTTGTTGACATAACCTCCGAGGTAAAAATGCGCCTTATCCGAAAAGATGATTTTTCTTGCAAAATTAGGGTCATCGTTCAACTGGTTTAAAGCCCACTCAGCAAAGCGAAAACGTTGTGGATGGTTAACTCCTGAACAAGCTGGACTTTGTACGCAAACATACCGAGGTCTTTGTGCAGAATCATCCTCAGAGTGGTACGGGAAAGGCCGAGTTGTTGACATCTGCGCCGAGTTGATGTTGACGCGTTCATGCGTACATTTTCGGCCACAGCAGCGATTGCTTCAGGTGTACGTCTAGGACGAGCATGCGAAACATGTTTTATGTCCACCAGCATTCCATTTCTGCGCAATTTTTTGATCAAATTTCTAATACTTTGGTTTGACGCCGCCTCATTTCTTCCAAACGCAATTTTCTTGCGATCTCTGCGATCACAGTCACATTCAAAGTAAGTTTTGAGTATTTCGAAACGTTGATCCAAATTTATTCGGTGCATATTTTGTAATCGAAAGGTTAAAACTAAACCTCTGTCAGCAATTCATGGCGCTTAAGTTGAAAGCTTCATTAATAGCACGTAGTTTAAAATTCAACTTATAAATGGCCCACCCTTTATGTATGACTTCCGCTGCGTGTATGGTGATTTCGTTTATGTTTCAGACATTAGTGTATTAGTGTAATAAAAATGACTCTAAATGATAAGTGTACTGAGAAGATTTGTTAAGATTGAACTGTAACGCTAAAATAAAAAGATTGATTTATGAACTATGAAGACTGAAGTGATATTGATGGACATTAATTTTGAAAAATAAAACAAATAATCAAGAAATAAACGAGAAGCTGTAATTTATATATATTATATAATAAAGAAGAAAGGAGAAGCTATAGGTAATACTAGACTCGCTTACTCCAGTACCTAAAAGAAACGTGATTAAGCTGGCTAAATCCCGGAAAGGAAAGGCCAATCAAACCAGAGAAGAAGAAGAAGAAGTTCGGGCTCCTTGTGAATGGCTTTGAATCTGACATTTCTTTACAGTTGTTGTCAAAAAAACTGTCAAAAATAGGATTTTCAAACTTAATTTATTCAACTCCACAATTTTTATTTATGAAATTTACTATTTCTGGACTCAATTTTGGTACATCATTTAGGAACATATTTAATTACTCTAAATTAGTCTCTAATTAGTAATTACTCTTGCAAATTTTAAATAAAAAGAAAATTTCTGTACTGTAGACACCCTATTTGAGTACGCCGCTGTTTTTTTAATAATAGGGAAATGACTAAATACGTAACTCTCACACTAACATACATAACCTTACAAAAATAGAGGTTATGTTTAGATAACTTTAAAATTGAAAAATTTAAATAGATTATGAAAAGTAAAGTAAATATAATTTGTAAGCGCTACATAAGCTTAAAACATGTAGGAACTTGGTATTCATCCTTGGTAAAACCAAGAAAACACTATCCACCATACAATCATATAGTGCAAATAGGGGACCCTTGTTTGAGAGTGAAAACTGAAAAACTACCTATGGAAGCAATACATTCGAACGAAATAAAATACATAACAAAAGTATTAAAAAAAGTGGCTAAAAATCATAATTGTGTTGGACTTTCTGCTCCCCAAATAGGTATTCCTATACAAATGTTCATAATGGAGTTCAATGAAAAGAATGCTTGTTCATTTTCAAAAAAGGAGTTTAAAACTAAGGAAATGGCATTTTTGCCCCAAACAGTAGCTAAATTATTTACTGAATAACACTTTAAATACTAAATTTAAAAAGTTCTAGGTTGTTATAAACCCAGAGATAAAAGTAACTGATTATACTAAAATAGTATTTCCTGAAGCATGTGGTAGTGTTAAAGGAATGTACGCTGAAGTACCAAGACACTATTCAATACAACTTAAAGGTACTTAATTGTAAAATATATTGTATTGTAATTGTATTCATTAAAAAAACATACAAGAATTAGAATGAGAGAAAACTGTCACCATATTATTGCCTAAAACCGGCTTATCACTGAAATAAGTCAGTCATTGTATGTCTCCGAGAATAGGGGTTACCGTCCCAGCCATAATTATTTGAAGTAAGAATATACTATTATTTAAACATTTCACATGTAATAGTAAAAAAAAGACTGCTCTTTCAATACATGAAGTCGGAAATAAAAAATATAAATACAAAATTAAACAGTAATTGAAATTCTTACTTTACCAGATGTTTTATTCTGTATTTATTTTTATCATATATTATATCACGAGAACTATGAATTTAATCGGTTTAACTAGGCTCAGTAGTTTTTTGTTTGGATTTTGTTGAAAAATGTTAAATGCAAAATAATTTAATAAAATCACGAGACCGCGTAGCGGTCGAGGGGTTTTATTTTTAATTATTTTGCATGAAACTATTTTCCAAAAAGAAAAATCAAATAAAAAACTTACTGAGCATAGTTTGACAGATTAAGTTTATAGGTTGAGTAATATACGCATGGAGCCATGTAGGCTCCATGGATATACGTCTAGATTATTTCTCGAATTAAACTAAAGGAAACTATTTGACAATCCATAATATCTGACGTATGTGTCAGAATTTATAAATATTTTTTTAAAGAAAATTCCATTAATTTAAGCTATGTATATATAATAAGTAATAATTGATATTTCGTAAACTAGATAACTTATTTTTTATTGTTTTTTAAAAAATGTTTGTTAAAACTTGTAAATAACACCATAAAATCGTAGACAAAAATCCAATATGGAGGCTAAAATTTAATCGTAAGTAATATCATAAGGGCATCTAATTTTTCCGAAAAAAATCGAAAAAACACGTTGCTAAGTAATATTTTAACAAAACGCATGAGTGCTGGTGGCAACAAAAATACGAGTCGAAGACGAGGATTTTTGCACCTGCACGAATGCATTTTGATAAAAAAATATTACTTAGCATTGTGTTTTTTCGATTTTTTTCACAGGAAAAATTAGATGCCCGAATGGTATTTGACAAGACTATTTCATGAGTAACGGTTAACAATTAAAATAAAAATTGAAATTTTTGGTGACAACAGCGGGTAAACTCGAAAAAACTGCTGATAGGTGCTGTCATACAGTTTTTTCACTTAGAAACCATTTGTAATTCAAAATTGCGCGTTTGTGATTGGTTGAAATTAAGACGAGGGAAATAGTCGCTGTTAAATAGTTCTAGTGATTTAATCGCTTATAAATAATTATTTAAACGAAATTTATTCGAAAATTCAAGGCTTTTGATTGGTTCATATTATAATGAGGGAAATAATCATCAATAAATAAAATTATTTTGTTTTCATTTTCATTACATGTGTATATGTATATTTTATGTATCATAATATATTATATAGTACATCATTTTACAATTTTTAATTATAGTATGTGAATTAAATTTGATGTAAGTACTAAAAATCACAGCAACACTGCACAGAGTTTAACGGCGGCCATTTTTGTTATTTACAATTCTTGTGCTTTGGATTTGTGCTGTTTAATAATCGTTTTTTAATCGTTGTTTCTTACAGAGGAATTTGTAAGCCTCAAATGAGGCCTTAAAGTGACAAGGACAACAATTTTACTCCTCTTTTATAAAAAATAAACCTTATTCTATTAGGGCTGTCAAATGTCAATTTGAAGGTTAATTTGTCAGTTTGATGACGGCCCTGATAGAGTAAGGTTTATTTTATACAAAAGTGGAATAAAATGGTTGTCCTTAGCACTTTAAGGCCTCATTTGAAGCTTACGAGTGCCTCTGTAAGAAACAACGTTTAAACCGATTATTAATCTGTATAGTTAAATAACACAAACCCAAAGCACAAGAATTTTAAACAACAAAAATGGCCGCCGTTAAACTCTGTGCAGTGTTGCAGTGATTTTTAGTACGAGATAGAACAGACCTTGTTGTGTGGATTGTGTAATAAATATTAAAAATTATAATTAGGTATGTCAAAAATACCAATATGTATTTACTGAGTTTACTGGATATACCTATAGCTGAATCTTCTTTTAGTTATTTTCAATACGGCTACAAAACTTGCGCAACATGCAAAATCTGTACATTTTATTTAATTAATCCCCGACGTCAATGCTCCGCATATTTAATAACCTACAAAAATTATTAAAAAGACTTAAGTCAGTTTTAAGCAATATTATTATGGTGACAGTTTTCATTCATTCTAATTCTTGTACGCTTTTTTATGTATACAACTCTAATTATACCAATTAAATTTTTAGCTTTAGATGAGGATGGTAAACAATTTGAGTTAAATGCAAAAGGTTGGTTAGCAAGAGTAATCCAACATGAAATGGACCATCTAAATGGAACATTGTATACTGATATAATGAATAGAAAAACTTTAACATGTGGTTGTTGGAATGTAGTAAATGAAAGAGGTGGAAAAGTAGAATTACCATACGGAGAAGTTTAATGTAAATATATATTATTAATTAAAGTATTTAGAAAAGAATTTCTTTAATTTTATAACATCACTGGGCGTTCATGGGTTAAGATACCAATGACTAGGATTAAATCATCAAGTTTGAATAGCACACTCAGATTTAAATCTATTTCAATCTAGTTTTACTAGTATTACTATCTAGATAAAATACACCATACATATCCATGGTTAAAATCTCAGAGACCCTGTTCAAACCAATAGATTTTTCTATCTGAATGTATGGTGTTTCTATAGGGTGTATCTGTATTGGGATGTATGGTTGTTCTATAAGGATATCCTGGGGATAAATGTAGAAGTTAGTTTTTCTCCCATAGGACCCAATAGTTTTAACAAAATTTTGTCAAATGTTTTATGGTTGCTCTATAGGGATATCCCTTTATTTCGTTTCCTGAGTTATTTGCTATTGTTCTCAATAGGGGAAATGTATAAGTTATGGTGGACCTATAGGTAATTTCCTATACATTTTCTATCGGGCCGTATCAGGAAAAAGTATGGACAAATGCACATATTGAATCCGGTAGCGCCCGATAGATTATTTATTATAATTCAGTAATGGGAGAAAACATGTCTCTAGCTCCAAAAGAAACTTAAATATGAAGTTTTTGTACAATTTACTTAAGGGATTACATACAAATGAGCTCGTAAAAATTAACCGTTTTTGGTGATTTTTTTTTGTTATATAATAATAATTATAATGAACGAAGGTAGAAAAATTGAGTTTTCCGGTCGAAAAAAATATAAATTTTCGTTCAAATAAAAATCCCTTCGTTCACGAAGAAGCTATTGTAATAAGGAATAACACAAATTTCAGATCCATCGGTAAATTTGGTTTTCGAGAAATCGTGGTCACGGCAACAGCACTTTTCAAAAAATAGGATTCCGAGATAAACGCGTTTAAAGTTTTAAGTTAATTCAATTTGCCCTTAAATTCGTGAGGCAACGCGCTATAAATTGTTATAACATAAATTCTAGTGCTCCGATCTTAATGAAATTTTGAGTACATATGTACTCATAGAATATTTAATAAACAAAAAATCGATTTTTTGACCCAGCACAAATGTATGTAACCCCTTAATGAAATGTCTTCAATATTAACTGTTTTTAATATTCAGTTACTAATTGTTTCTATAAATATCGCGTGTTTTAAAAATCTGATATATTAACCCAAAAACGTAACCACGGTCCCTTGTCTCCCGCCGCCTTTTTTGACATACAATCCATATTTGTATGTAGATTACCTTAATTTATATTTGCAAAATATTTTTTAGTTAATATAAGAACTATTAACTTACGTTATAAGACCTATTTACTTAGAAAATCTTATACTAGTTTTAATAAAAAAAATAATATCATATGTCTCCCAATTTAAATCGAGCTCTTCTTATATTAGTAAAATGTGACACCGCTAAATGGCCGGTCGTGTTATGTTAAAATTATTGAAGATCAGTGACAAGTATTTATGTAATAAGAGCTGTAAGTAGGTACCTACTTATAATTGTAAATATTAATTTAATAAATTTAGTTTAAGCCTGATATTTTAATGCATACTTTTGGGGGTCTCTAATGATATCTTAATTGTTTTTAATTATATCCCTGACTAAACATTTTAGATTTGTACAATGATATATACAATACATAACCCCAAATTTTCGTAAGCTGATCTCAGAGACCATTATTTGTGTCTAAACGCAACGACGGTCCCCTGTAACGACTGTCCCCTGTAACGACGGTCCTCATGAAAAGGGACCGTTGTTGCTAACATATCACGGTGCTGTTCTGAGAGGTGATTTTTGGACTTTCTGTGAAACCTAATTTTTTTTATATTCTTGTTAATTAGGTCATAACTAAAATTTTAAGAGCAAAATAAAAAAAATTTGACGGTTAATTTTGTTTTAATTAATGTTTATTAAAAATATGTATGCACACTTTCAATTCTCCAATTAAAACTTGCGATATTATTTAAATATTATCATAACTTTTTAAATCAGATTAAAGATTAGTTAATTTCCTAAAAAAAGGTCTATACATTTTTTATATCTTTTACTGTTTTGTTGTAATACACGTTTAAAGTTTTAATTTAAGGTAAAATGTATAGTATACATTTATTAAACAATAATTTTAAGGGTGCCACGTTTTATTTAGGGCCGATTTATTCATTTTTGATTTATTTGACGAATAATTTCTTTGAATACTAGATATTGCCAAGACATGAAAGTTATCGGCCCGATAAACTTTACTAAAGATGAATAAACCGGTCCTTAGTTAAATTTCATGAATTTCTTCGTAACTTTTACTACAATTTTTCATTTTTGTTTATAAAAAACACTTTAAAAAACTAAACAAAAATTATAGAATACGTATACTGAAAATGACAATTCAAACGTCAAATAAATTTTTAATAGATCTAAGTTTCATGGCAACCTTTAAGGATATATTAATTATGGGAACATAAATGTATACGTCAAAGGTTAGATTAAAAGTTTGAACATTTATTGCAACAAAACAGTAAAATATATAAAAAAAAATTGTAAAAACCTTTTTTTTAGTTATGCAAATATTAAATATTTAAATTAAATCGCTAGTTTTAATTGGATAATTGAAAGAGTGCATAATATTTTTAATAAACAGCCAATTAAAACAATTCAAACCGTCAATTTTTTTTATTTTGCTCTTAAAATTTTAGTTATGACCTAATTAACAAGAATATAAAAAAAACATTAGGTTTCACAGAAAGTCCAAAAATCACCTCTCAGAACAGCACCGTGATATATGCCCACGGCGGTCCTCAAGGGTGAATAGGTTGACCAAAAATGTAGCCAAAAAATATTTACTACATCTAATTGTACTCCACTTAGGCTCTCTAAAACCATTTTTGGGAAAATCGCAGCTGATCGAAAAGTTGTTTTTTTAGTTTTAAAAGAAAATCATGGAATTTTAGTAGTTTTTTTTTGGTTACATTTTTATATATCAAAAGTTTGTGTAATTTTAATCATTATCTTATTGAAAATCACATTCTTTAATCTTCTCAATAACATTTAGTAGTATTATTAATTGAAATCATAGTTAAGTATCAAATTTTCATCCGCACTGCAAAAAATTTAATAAAAAAGTAGGTAGGCTAAGACTACTATGAAATACAATATAATGTTACAATTACCAAAGGGTGCCATGAAATCTGTTGTTGTGTTATGACAACACGTCAATTGTTATTGAACAGAGAACATAAGTTTTATTTAGATGTTTGTGCTTGTTGTGTTATTTAAAGTAGTTTTTTAAATTCAAAGTAATAATGTAAAAAGCCTTTGTGACGGCTGGTGGATTTTGGGTACACCAATATCTCAGTTATTAGACATGGTACCCATATGCAATTTATAATTCACTACAGTTTATCAACAAATTTCAAAATTTATTTAAAAAGTCCGAGTATTACAGATTTTATACCATTTTAAAATTTTTATTAATTCTATTTCTAAATAAAAAAAAAATCTGTAATACTTTTAAAATAAATTTTGAAATTTGTTGATAAACTGTAGTGAATTATAAATTACACCACTTTAATTTGAATTATCTTAATTTGGAGGGCAGGACGCTGGGGGGGCACGCTAAAAAACAAACTTTTTTTCCCAAACTTTAATTTAAATTCTGCTCGCGCAGAACTTGTATATAATGTCATTATAAACTCATATAAATTTGATGTGGGTCCCACAATGTGTGGATTGTGGTGGGTCCCATGTCTAAATACTGAGATATGGGTGTGCCCAAAATCCACCAGCCGCCACTTTAAGATAATCATGAAGAAAACCGATCGAAAGTTTGTGTTGTCTGCGGCTGGAAGATAGTTTTTGGAAAATGCAATCCATCAAAATTTATATTAAATGATAGCCTATACAATTTGATAAATCGATCTACACTGATTTAAATTTGACAAAAATGACAGTAGATATTCCAATGCAGTATGTGGCAATTGTCGTTTGTCTTTATACGATAGGAGACAGAATATCTTAAAAAGACCTCTTTCCAAAAAAGAACCGGGTTTTGACAAAATTGTGCTACATCCAAGAACGAGACTCACATGTCACCATGTAGCTGTCAGTTTTAACATGCAGCGAATGCTGGCAAAAAGTTGATAAAGGAATTTCCCAAAATTGCAGTAAGCACATTCTGTTGTCTGTTGTTCCTACTGTTTTTCTGATATAATGAATTAAGAAATGGCACTTTAAATGTTGGTTTATATAGAACTTGCCTGGGAAAGATATAAAATTAATCGTTTGGACATTTGTAGGTTTAGTTATTAATGTTTCATGTTTTGTTAAAGTAGTTACCTAATGTTATTGAAAAGATCAAAGGATGAGATTTTTATTCGAGTGTAACCAAAATTACACATATTTTTGATATAACAAAAAATGTAACCAAAAAATTTTTTGGTTTAAACTAATAAAATTCCATGATTTTCTCTAAAAACTAAAAAAAATCAAGTTTTCGATCAGCTGCGATTTACCTAAAAATGGTTTTAGAGAGCCTAAGTGGAGTACAATTAGATGTAGTAAATAGTTTTTGGCTACATTTTTGGTCAACCTATTCACCCTTAAAGACCGCCGTGTGCCCTATAGGGAACGTTGTTACATATTTGAAAAATTAGGCAAATGCTCACCTCCAACGTTTTTCAAAAGAAATTTTGTAATCAAAGAAAATGATTACATACAAAACATTTATGATAATCTAGAATTATAAATTTTTTGTTGTAAACGAGCTATTTGTTTAATAAATAACCTTCCATTAATTTTTTTACCTTTTTAAATCATAGTTATATTATTATTCTTTTTATAGTTTGTTAAAAAACGTAACGACTCGTCGTTACGTCGCGACGGTCCCTTTGCTAAGAACAACGGCCCCTATAAAAAATAACGAAGGTCCCTATAAATAATAACGGCGGTCCCTCTAACAATAATAAAATTGTTGCTAATCAGTGTATGTACAACC